GCCTTCGGTGGAGCTCCCTATGGTGCCGCGAAACGTGTGAGTGGTGTGCCGAAACGGGCGGGGAACCGCATGCGGACCCTGCCACTGGGGCCTTCGGTGGCGCTCCTTGCGGGGCCACGGAACGTGTGAGGGGTGTGCCTACATGGACGGAGAACCGCATGCGGACCCTGCCACTGAGGCCTTCGGTGGAGCTCTCTATGGGGCCACGAAACGTGTGAGGTGTGAGCCGAAATGGGCGGGGAACCGCATGCGGACCCTGCCACTGAGGCCTGCGGTGGAGCCTCCTATGAGGACACGAAATTTGTCAGGGGTGTGCCGAAATGGGCCGGGAACTGCATGCGGACCCTGCCACTGGGGCCTTCGGTGGAGCTCCCTGCGGGGCCACGAAACGTGTGAGGGGTGTGCCGAAATGGGCGGGGAACGCCATGCGGACCCTGCCACTGGGGCCTTCGGTGGAGCCCCCCCCCCGCCCCCGGACCACCAGAGGCGCCCAGAACGTCCAAAACCTCCTCGGTCTTCGATCCTGGATCCTCCAACTCCTCCTCCCCCTCCTCCTCCTCCTCCTGCTCCTCCTCCTCGTCCTCCTCCTCCTCCTCCTGTTCCTCCTCGCCACGTCTGCTTCTCCTACGTACTCATGATATTCATCCTTGTCCTCCTCCTTCTCCACCTCCTCTTCCCCTTCCTCCTCTCCTCCTCCTTCTTCTCCTCCTTCTCGTCCTCCTCCTCCTCCTCCTCCTCAGCAACAGCAGTAACAGTACCATCCACATCACCAGCATTATCGACATCAGCAACAACAGCAGCATCCTCATCATCCTTTCCCTCCTGCTGTTAATCCTTCCCCCTCATCATCAAATCCACCACCGTCATCATGATCACCAACATCACAACCAGCAGCATCATCATCGTCGTCGGCAGCAGCAGCAGCATCATTCGCACCCTCATCATACCACCAGCCTCATCATAACAATCGACATCACCAGCCTCACCATCCCCATTATCAGCACCAGTACCACCATCACCATCACCACAACCAGCACCACCACCAGCATCATCAGCAGCATCGTCATCATTCTCACCATCACCAGCATCACCAGCACCATGGTTATCAGAATCATCCTTATCATCGTCATCAGCAGTATCACCACCATCAGCGGCATCATCACCATTACCACCGTCCCCGTGTTCAACACTATTGCCATCATCACCATCACCATTTCCAGCATGATCACCGGCCACCTCATCAGCTGCATCCTCATTCTCGTCATCACTGTCACCAGCATCAGCAATACCATCACTATCATCAGCACCACCATCATCATCATCATCATCAACAACACCATCAGCATCATAACCCGCACCATTATCATCATCATCATCATCATCATCATCATCATCATCATCATCATCATCATCATCATCATCATTATCATCATCAGCATCATCAGCATCAGCATCAGCATCAGCATCATCATCATCATCATCATCATCATCATCATCATCATCAGCATCATCATCAGCATCAGCATCGTCATCATCATCACCATCAACAGCATCGTCATGGCATGCTGTTGACAGTCGCGCGCCAGAACAGTATGTGTGTGTGTGTGCTGGGGCCCGTATCTGGCCTCCCCCAGTTGGCAGGCTCTCTGCGCGGAGCAGGCCACCAGGGGCAGAACAGGCGCGGGGGGCACAACGCGCGGGACAGGCGCTCAGAGGGCTGAGCCAGCGAGCGCGCGGAACTGGCCCCCAAGGGGCCGAACCAGCGCGCAAGCGGAACTGGCCCTTAGAGGCCGAACCAGCGACACCACGCAGAACAGACCTTCTGAGGGCCGATCCAGCGCGGGCACCGAATGCCTTCCCGCCGACGGCAGGGGGGGGTACAGTCCCGAACCTGACCCTGGGCCAACGCGGCCCTGCAGGGCCAGGCCTCTGAGACTACAACCTCCATGCGGGAGAGGTCTGAAGAATCTTGCGGCGGGACGGGCGACGGTCGCGCCCAACCCAAGGCCGAGACGGCAGAGGGCGGCCGGGGGCAGCTTGCGGGATAGGAGTCTGGGCCCAGACAGCCACGGAAAAAAACTGTCGCGATCCTCCTCGCATTCGCCGCCATACTCCCGCGCAATAAGGTAAACCCAAGAGCGCATCATTCATGGCGTCCTTTCCATCGCCAGTCGCGCGCCAGAACAATATGCGCGCGAGTTGGCGCAAATACCAAGCCCCCCCCCTCCCAATTCGCAAGCCTTCTGCGCGGAGCAGGCCGCCAGGGGCCGAACCAGCGCGGGGGGCGCAGCACGCGGGACAGGCGCTCAGAGGGCCGAACCCATCGCGCGACTCTTCAAGTCTATGCGCGCTTCCCGTCATCCGCCAGGCCTTGATTTTTGAGCAATCCCGAGACCTCCCCCCCTCAGACTCCCCCCAATTGAAGATATTTCCCTCCGGGTCGGAACCAACGTACGTCCATCGCGCGACTCTTCGAGTCTATGCGCGCTTCCCGTCAAACGCCGTGCTGGCAGCTTCTTCCGCATCTCACTTCTCCGAGGACGTCTCGAGCGAAACGCCCGAAAAAAGGGCAATCCGCTGAGCTCAAAAATCCCGTGCAATCGGGAGCCAATTGTCCCTCGCGAGTTTGTTTATTATCTGTTGTTAGAAAGCTCGGCCTCACAAACTACCAGCCTCGAACTTATCCCTATCCCTAAGATTGACACGCCAAAAGGCGATGACAATCTTAGGGATGGGCCCTTAAAAAAATAAGGGAATCCCTAAGATGGGCATTGTGATGAGGCGATGCCCCGCTTAGGGATAGGGATATGTTCCAGGCTGGTAAACAAACTCCCATCGCCTTCTCGTTCCGAGAAGGCGCTTCCCGCAATTCGAACGGACATGCCGACTGGGGCCCCAGGAAGAGAGAAGACAGCAGCCCGAGGCCAGTCGTGGGCCAGCCGGCCCGGGCGCCTCGGGGTCTGAGGCGCTGTCATCTCCTGCCTCCGAGGCCGACAGAGTCGACGCGGGAGGAGGGGGAGGGGGGGGGGGGGGGCAAGCTAGGTGCGCTCGCGTCATATCTGACATCCTACCCCTCCCTCCCATCCTTTACCATGGCGCAGATCCCCTCTCTACTCGCACAGTCGGATGTCAAACAAGGGCAATTGTCCCGAAAGGGTACGCGATGAATTGTAGAGCACAGCATGGCATGGCGTAGAAGAGCACCGCGAGGCGTAGTATCAACCGAGCATTGCATTGCATGCCGTGGCATGGCACGGGAAATGACGCCAGCGCTGCAGCGGGAGCGCGAGTCGAAACGAGCGGAAGCGCGGAAATGAGGCCAACGCTGCAGCGAGAGCACGATTCGGAACGAGCGGAAGCACGCCAGAATCGGCCAAGGAGGATTCCCGGGCGCCAGAAGCAGAAATTCAGCATTTTCTAAAGAAAGATGTGTATTGGAATGGCCTTCTTTCGGCGCCGCCTCGGAACTAGAGTTTCCAGCGCCGGCCGAAACCGGCTCTGGACCCGGCCCGGGCGCCGGCCCAGGCGCCGGCTCGGGCGTCCGGCCCAAGCGCCGGCTCGGGCGCCGGCCCGGGCGTCGGAATCAGCTTGGGAGGCCTCCCAGGCGCCGGAAGCCGAAATTCAGCATGTTCAAAAGAAAGAAACATGTGTATTAGAATGACCTTTTTTCGGCGCCGCCTCGGAACTCTATTTTCCGGCGGCGGCCGGAACTGGCTCCGGACCCGGCCCGAGCGCCGGCCCGGGCGCACGGAAATGAGGCCAGCGCTGCAGCGGGAGCACGATTCGGAGCGAGCGGGGCCCGAAAATGAGGCCGGCGCCTCAGCGAGAGCAGCATTTTGAAACAAAATGCAAGCGAAAACCCAACTCCGGGGAAACCTGTGTAACAAAAACAATACGCGGGGGGGGGCGAATATTCCCAAGCCGTCATCAAGGGAAAAGGGAGAGTAGTATTCATATTGAGTTGTTGTAAAGGGAGAGGGGGACAGAGAGGCGGGGGGCGACGAGGAGGATGAGAAGGGCGACGAGGCCGAGGAAGAGGAAGCCTGCCGGGACGAGGACGGCGACGCCGACGACGACGACGAGAACGCGCACGAAGGGAAGGCGTGCGACAGAGGCTCCTCTTCGGCAGCGTGCTCCATGGGCGCCCCCCGGCCACTCTGCCAGCCTCGGCCGAGGCTCCAGGGTCGCAGAGCCCGAGCACAAGACTCAGGGGGCGTAAGACCCGGGTACAGGGGACTCGGAAATCCCCGACGAGGTCGTCAAAAAAATGACGAGGCCGAGCCTGCATTTTGACGAGGCCTCCCGCTGCAGAAATCCCACGAAATTCCTACTCGTCAAAATCCGAGTCGCGGTCGTCAAAAAAAGATGGCGAACCCGAGTCCTGGCAAACCCGGGTCTTAGTTACGCTCCCCCGAAAGATAGCTGCAGCGATCGGCCAGGCCTGCACTATGCACGCCGGCATGCCTGCCGTCCTTCCCCCTATGGACGCCGACATGGGCAGGGCCAGCCTGGCGACGGCATCGACGTGCGCCCTGTGCTGCAGCAAACTCTGGGCATCGCTCGGACGTCCATTCCCGGTGTTTGTTTCGGTTTCGTGCGTGTTTTCTTCGCCAAATGATCAAGGATGCTCCTCGATGGTCCTCGCCGAAGGAAAAATGCACACGTCCTAGCGATGCCAAGAACTCCCGCGGGGAGCACACGAATCGCTGCACCCGCGTGCGGGAAGCGCGGAGGCCGCTCGGATGCGCACGCGCGAGGCCGACGTTGTGCCCAGCAGCCCGACCGGCTCGGCCCCACAGCGGCAGACGGCCACGTGCAACATCCAGCTCGCGCCCAGGCCGGCCAGGTCGCGTGTCTGCAGCTGACCGACTGGGAGCTCGCCTCGCGTGAGAGCAGAAGCATCGAGGACCAGATCCTGGCCTGAGACTCCGCTCGGCAGATGATTCGAGGAGGCCGAGTGGGGAAGGGGCGAAGATCGGCAGGAGGAGCCCAGAGGATCTCTGTTTGTGCCGACGGCAGTCGGGCCTGCTTCTGCTGATACTATTCTACGGAAGGGGCTACAAACGAGCTGCTGCCCTACATAAGCCACCTGGAGCTCGGCATCGTACGCCGGCGGTGCGCCACTAGGCTCCTGAAGCCTCCGCCGAAGAGGCCACCGAGGGCAGGCTCCGGATGCTCATGCCAGACGCCACCAAGGGGAGACTCCGCTCTGCAGACTGCCGCAGCAGATCGGCAAGCTGCGGCAGCCGAGTGCTGTCGGCCGATGGCTCTTGCCAGCTCCTCCTCACGCATCGTGCTGTTCGGCCGGTGGCTCTTGCTAGGTCCTCCTCTTCCTCGTCCTCCTCTTCCTCCTCCTCCCTCCTCCTCCTCCTCCTCCTCCTCCTCCTCCTCCTCATCCTCCTCCCCCTTCCCTTCTTCTCCTCCTCCTCCTCCTCCTCCTCTCTCCTCCTCCTCCTCCTCCTCTCCACCTCCTCCTCCTCCTCCCTCCTCCTCCTCCTCCTCCCTCCTCATCGTCGTCCTCCTCCTCTTCCTCCTCCTCCTCCTCCTCCCTCCTCCTCCTCCTCCTCCTCCTCCTCCTCCTCCTCCTCCTCCTCCTCCTCCTCCTCCTCCTCCTCCTCCTCCTCCTCCCCTCCTCCCCCTTCCTCCTTCTTCTCCTTCTCCTCCTCCTCCTCCTCTCCTCCTCCTCCTCCCCTCCTCCTCCTCCTCCTCCTCCTCCTCCTCCTCCTCCTCCTCCGTCCAGCACGTCGTGCCCCGGCGCTGCACGGCCGCTCGGCGCTCCAGCCGCCTCGGGGTCAGGACCCCCGCGCCTGCTGCAGCGAGTACAGCAAGGTGCTCACCGCGAAGGTGCCCCCGAAGCCCGCGAGCCCGCGGAGGCCCTGGTCCCGGAAGGTGAGCGACACGGCTGCGACGCAGAGGGCCACCGGGAAGGCGCTGATCACAACGACCCCAGCGAGCCCGCAGGGAGCGCGGTAGACGCTGTCGTCTTCCACGCGGGCGTAGCCCTCGTGCGAGGTGGAGCGGTGCCGCACCCAGGCGGCGAACTGGACCACGAAGGAGAAGCAGTCGAAGAACATTGAGGCGGCGATCAAGTCGGTGAACTCGACCCCGACGAGGAGGAAGAGCAGGCAGCTGAAGGCCACGGTGCACACGTGGGGCGTCAGGTACCTGGGGTGCAGGGACCCCAAGCACCGGGGCACGGGCTGGCGGGGCAAGTCGGCCATGCACACGATCTCTCGCACGGAGGAGCAGAGCAGAGCGTTCAGCTGACCAAGGGATGACAGCGCCCCAAAAGAAGCGACAGCGGCGCCGAGGGCGCTGCCTCCCACGCGGGTGGAGATCAAGACAAACGACCCGTCGTGCCAATCGTCCGTGGAGGGCAGCACTGTGAGGCCTACCAGGACGGGCACCACGTAACAGGAAGTAATGATGGACATAGCGATGGCCAAAGAGATTGGGTACACCTTCCGTGGATTCACGATCTCGGCGGCGGTGGAGCCAGCGTCGTCGTACCCAGACATGTTCCATAACAGGCAGGACAAGAATTTCAAGGGCGACAGCGTCCCTGTGTGAAATCGCTCCTCCACCAAGCCTGGCAGGCCCCTAGCCCCCCAGAGAGCGAGGACGGCGAATGGACTGCATACTATGAGGGTGAATGCAAATGACGCGGCCCCTACGAATTCGATACCACGGATGTTCAGCAGACACGCAGCCAAAATCATCAGACACGGTATGAGGGCTGCGGCCTCGTCCGCGAAGGAGAAGCCGAGCTGCTTGATGTAGGCCAGCGCCATCGCTGGCAGCGTCGCGACGTCGAACACGTTACTCACTGCGTTGAAGGCGCCGTGGAGCCACCCCACGTACGGACCAAACATCTCATTCACAAAATCTGCCTACCCCCCTCTGCTGGAGGCGACAAGGCAGTGACCTGTTTGGCTGCCCCCCTCCGACAATTCTCCTTCCCCGGGTGTTCAAATTCCCGTTCGAGGGGGGGCACTCACGCTAAGGTGCCGTCGGGCCCCCTGTGCGGCATCCAGGTTCCCCAACGACGGCTCCAGAAGAGGCCGAACATGACCTCGGATGGCTTCGACGAGTCGCGGAGGCCTCTCTCCTCTCGCTGCAGCAGGGCGACGGGGCAGGACACGAGAGCACAGCAGCGAAAGCCGTGCCACAACGCACGCCCGGCAGCCGTTGGAACCTGTCTGGGGAGGAGCAGCCCACGCCCCACGCGCGATGCCCTGCCGCTTGCCGCACGGGGCCCCCCTCCGGAAGTCCCGCCCCCTAGGGCCCCAAGTGGCCGGCTCTTCGCCCCGAGCCGTTGCTGCCTAAGGCCCCCGGGGGCCCGGCGACGGCCCCCGCGGGACCGAGGAGACGGCCCAACTGCCCGACGTGATGTCTGCCACGACGCGGGCACGCCGGGGCACAGAGCCAGGGCTGGACTTAAACGGTGTCTGTCGTGCCGTGTTCGCTTCGTTGTTCGTTTTGCTCGACCCGTTCTCCTGTGCCTCCCTCCCAGCACGAAACACAAAAAACAAAGCACAGCCAAAGCCCAGCAAAACAGCGCTGAGGTCAAGCCCTGCACAGAGCCGTTGCCCGAGCTCTCGAGCTTTCAGGCCCGTGCGTGGGCTCGCCTGTGGGGAGCACAGGAGCGGCGCAGGAGCGGCGCAGTGAGTTCATGGTCGCCGCAGTGCGCACGGGCTTGTTGGTCCTGGACGTTCTGTGGAGTGATCCTTCGCAGATGTTTCGGAGTACGTTCGCACTCTTCTTGCTGCGCTGCCGTCGTTACTCATGCTTTTCGGTTTCTTCCTGATTCTCAGGTTCCTCCTAGGTTCTGACCTACGATCGGTTGCTCCTGCTGTACAGCTTGACGAATTGAGCAAACCGCTGGGATACAGTCATCGTGCGACCAGAAGGAACGCATAATAAGGAACGGAGGGGCCGTTCTGGCCACGGTGCGCCTAGGCCACAAACAAGTGGCCCGAAAACACGAGCCCCTCCAGAGCCCAAAGCGGTCCTTACTTCATCGTCTTGACTGTAGAAATTCGCCCCCACGGGCGGAAACGCGGAGCCCCAAGACGGGCTCAGGAGGGTCCCAATCTGGGCTCAGGAGAAGCCATTCGAACTGACATGGCGATCCTTCCGCCCCAAGAGGGCCCCCGAGACCGCCAGCGGGGCGGCCACGAAACCCCCCAAGAGGCCTCAAACCGCCTCCAGACAGTCAAACAAAAAGCCCCCAGAGCCTCCAAGCGGTTCCCATGAAGAGGCCTCGCCCGTGGAGTCCCTTCTTCCTGAGGGGGTCGGGGGGGGTGGCGACTTGATCAGACGACGATGGCGGAAAACGGCCAGCTTCCCAGCAGATAAGAAGCGGACTCGACGATGCTAGAACAGCTGCTCTGGAAGGATGCGTCTCATCCAACACCGACGGCGCGAAGCAGGCCTGCTGCCCGCATGGTCGCCTCTCGATGTGCGCCTAGGAGTCAGGGACCTCCCCGATGTGCTCCGAGCAGCTGGGGTCGTAGGATCGCGCCGCATGGCCGATGCATCGCCGATGCCTCGGCAGTGCATCGACGACGCCGGCGATACATCCGCGAAGCCGGCGTGGGGAAAATGGGGCCCCACACATCGAGCCGCAGCGCCGCTGCATCGGAGGCGCGAGCGCTATATCCTCCGGCCCGATCTGCTCGGACCCCGCCTGGCAGAAGCCGGGCGAGGGCTGGCAAGCCCGTGGCTGCTAAAACGGAGCTCTGGGAAATTGTTGCTACTCTTCGGGGAAGCAATCTGTTTGACGAACGGACAACACGCACCCATACCCATAGGGGGGTCGTTGGGAGGAGGACTGGCTATGGGTATGGGTGCGGGTTGTCGGACCCTGGGGAACGCTCCCGTTCGAGCGGGGACCCCCATCCGACAACACGCATCCATCGCCCTCTCCGATCCCCCTATGGGTATGGGTGTGTGTTGTTGGTTCGTCACTGTTAACTATTTAGCGCGCTGGGCTTTATTCCGGGAGGCTTCCGAGCCTGGCGGGCCTGGAGGAACGGCGCGGGCCTCTGGGCATAGATCTTCCCCCCCACGTGCGGGAAGGCGGAGCACATCTCGGCCGTCATCAGCGCGATCGGGGCGGACCACAGCACTGGCAGCACGACCAGCCCTACCAGCGCCAGGAAGGGGTCCCCCCCCTTGCGGACGACGGGCTCGATGCCGTAGGGGCCGCCGCAAACCTGGAGGAGCACAAGAAGCTGCGCATACACAACCTGTCGGAGCTCCGCGCCAAGGGTTCTTGTTGCCATCTTCGGCCCCTGGGGTCCCTCACCCCTGGGACCGTCGAAAAACGATCCGGGACGAAAGAACTGCTACAGTGAAGGGCTCCAGACCTCCGGAATGGGCTTTGTGATACCAAGCGAATCACCAGCAGGGCTTGCACCACTTTCACACACGGCCCTACTCGATTACCGCCGTTGCCCTCGGGTCATCCCGTGGCTGGCTGGCCCGCTTACTGCCAGCGTAGCAACCACAATGCAAAACACCACTCGGACCAGGCAGTCAGGAGGGGTGTTGACTCGAAGGGCGCGTCGAATGTCGAACTGACCCAACACGTGGGATTTGCAGCATCGAGCACAAGTATTTGATGAGGCTGGGGCCCGAGTTGGAGACGACTGGGGGGTCAGAGCTGGATGGGACCCGAGGAGATCAATCCAGGAAGAGGAGGAGGAGGAGGAGAAGGAGGAGCAGGGAGGAGGAGGAGGAGGAGGAGGAGGAGGAGGAGGAGGAGGAGAAGGGGGAGGAGGAGGAGGGAGGAGGAGGAGGGAGGAGCTGGATGGGGCCCGAGGAAATCAATCCGGAGAGACATCCAAGCAGACTCGAGCAAGAAGCCGGCCCCCGGACCCTTGCGTGGGCCCCGCTGGCGCAGCGTGCCGGCCGCCCAGGTTCGATACTGCCCGACGGTCCTGGAGCCCGAAGGCGGCTCCCAGATCCATAATGACGACAAAAAACCAAAAACAAAAAAACAACAAAAACAAAAACGTTCGAACCTCACCCCCCCTCCTTGCTGGCCGGAGCAAGTCCTGGGCCACCTCAGGCCCCCAGCTCGCCCCCCTCCGTTTGCCGAGGGCCGCCCTGCGCCTCGAAGAAGATGAGGCCCACCATCGCGGGTACCGTCAGCACCCGGGGCATCTCGAGCTTGGACCTCCGCGTGGTGGTTTGGCTCCCCAAAGGGGGGGGGGGGGGGGGGGGAAGATGTGTGTATAGGGGGACGGCCGAGGGGCCGTTCCTGTACGGGGTCCGTGGGTAGAGGCGAGGAGTAGGACTCCTTTTTCCAGGGCACTGCACAGCGAGCAACGCACGGTTGTCTCTTAGCCACTACCTGGGCCAAACCAGTTGCGGACGAAGGGATATAAGAAGGAAGTGAGCGGACTTCACACACAGAAGAAGGCGAGGCCCGTGGCTGGTAAGGCTCCGCCCCGAGCAGGCCAGGGCGAGCTCCACGCCCCCGCGCCGCCTTCGGCGGCGCCCCCAGGGCGCGCCGCGCCCCAGGGCTTGGGGTGCGTCAACGCCTAGGCAGAGGCCCCCCAGAGGCCAAATATTGCGGGAAACCTCCCGGCGTGACTTCTTCAAGTCGCCAACAGGGTGTGGCAACGGGGGGCGTGCCGACGCGCGCCCCCGACTACGCGACTTCAGCATGGGCAAAAGAACGAGGCCAAACGTCAAACCCGGGGATACACCGTGGGGATGCTCGTCCGCCATTCGGGGAGAAACTCCAAGACATCTGGTGATGTGACGTTCGCAATCCTCGTCACCAAACGTCCCGACCCCTCCCCTGGAGACAGCTTTCCGTTCCGAATCAGTTTCTGAAGTTCCCGAGTCCCCGGGGGCCAAAATACAGAAACAACGCAAGGGCTGTGATTGTATCCGCCGCTCCCTGTCTGGGGCCACCAGGCTCTGCGGATTGGGCTTGCGGCTCCCTGTGCCAATTCCAGCTTTCAATCTCCAGTGTTGTAATCCGGTTTTCTGTGTCCTACTGTGAATGGTTGAAGTCCGCGCGACGGGGGGGAACCCGAAAAGCACCCTGATTACCGCCACCTGGGTCTCTCAAAATTTCGGGGGTGCCCTGGGACAGGTGAAAATACATGATTAGACTCGCGCCCCTGAAGCCACAATCCCTTACACATTACGCAATATTCGCATCCCGAGGCCATACCCCGTAGCAAAGTATCCCATACTTGCATCCCCGAGGCCATAACCCCTTCGCAAAATACATTGCGCTCGCGTCCCCAGTACCACAATTAGTAAATGACGCTATCCTTGCGCCCTCGAAGCCACGATCCCTCGTAAATGACGCGCTCTTCACGTCCCAGAAGTCATAAAACCTCGCCTAGTGCGCAGTTTTCGCGCTTTCGAAACCACAATCCTTTATAGAATATCCCCAAGACGGTACGAGAGGCTCGAGACGGCCCAAGAGTGCTCTAAGTCATCCAAGATGGTCAGAAGACGGCGAAAGAGGCTCCCACGGGCCCCCGAGAGAGCTCCAAGAGCACCCCCAAGAGGGGCCCAAGAGGCCAACATCTGCAAGGCGCCTGGATATCTCCAGTGGCCCCCGTTCAGAGTTCCGGCGCTGCTTCACGACGGCGCCCAGGCCTCACAACATAGCTCTTGCATGCCCCATTCTCCGAGAGAGGGGGCCGGCGGCATGGGGCGAAACCGCCATGTGTAGATCGATCTGTATCTAGAATAAATATGATGCAGAAGAATTATCGTCGAAGATCTGGGATCCGGGACTCGGGGCGAACAGTGATGGCAAGGTTAGGGGGCGGGCCAGTTCAGGGGGAGAGCATCGGCCCGCAGTCGGCGGTGCATCGCCGACAGATCGGCGAGAGGCCCCCGATGGCGAAGTCGCGCGCTCCTGGGCGGGGCGGGCTGCCAGCAGCAGGCCCCTATCTCAGCGAGCAGTGGGCGATCGGGGGTCGGTGCGCCCCTCGCGGAGCCCAGTCCCCCTAACCTTTTAAGTCGGGCCTGTCCCCCTTCAGGGGGGTGTTCGACAACAAATTATACATATATATATACACACATATATACATATATACATACATACATATATACATATATATGTATATTTATGTATATCCCAGAAATATCCAAAAGTGCGCAAACATGTGCAAAACATACTCCCCAGACTATTTTTAACCATTTTTGAATATTCCCCCTGTAGAGGGACAGGCCCGACCTAAGCCTAGTCCCCCTAACCGTTGGCCCGTGGCATTCGGGTCAGAACTCAGCTCCAGGGCGGCCGTTCGGAGCGATCTGGGCACCCTTGGAAAGCTCTCGGCGAGGCGCAACCTCTGGAAGGCATCCCGAGGCTGGATAGTCGCTGGGAAGCAACGGAAACGTCCGAAAACCTAGAGACTTACAAAGATCGCCTGGCAAATCGTAGCCTGACCAGAAACGTCAGACAACCTCGAACCTCGAGAATCGCCCGCGGTCTGGGCGGACAAGGAGGTACCCATACAGCCTCCGGGGGTGCGCTCTGACCAGGACTGCGACGATAATCCAGCCGTGGTGACAGGGCTCCCCGAGACGATCAGCGGCACAAGCACCTTCTCTCGTAGGCGAGCTACTGGGCCTGGAGGACCCGAAGAGTCGGGCGGCCCGGGCGCGGGCGGGCCCGGGCAGCAGGTGCGGTGCCTCCTCGAGCCCTGGGGCGCAGAGGTCGGCAGAGGGCGGTGCAAACACACGCAAACCGTCCGAGCTGCGCCCAACAGTGGCAACGGCGGAGCCCCTGGAAGGCCAACGGCCGCTGACTCAACTCGCCCTCCTCTTCTCGGGCCGGGCGAAAGGGGGGGTTCGAGAACCAGCTCACCTATTGCAGATTTCCCCGGCGCCTCCCGGCGCCGGAGGCGGCAATGTATATCGAGGCATGGGCCCCTCGGCGAGGCCGAAACCAGCTGCAGGCAGCAAATTTCGTACCCCCCCCCTTTCCCAATCCCCCCCTTTCGTTCGGCCCGATCTTCGTCTATTGAGCAGGGACCGACCGTCCCGGCATTCCTATGGTCCTACCACGAAATGTTCCTAGAACCCAACAATGTTCAAAAAACAAGAAAATGTTCTTAGAACATTAACCCGATGTGCTAAAGCAAGACAGTCCCGGCCAGAAATGTTCCAAGAACACTTCGTGGGAACCACGAACAGGTTCTTGGAACATTGCTTGCTGGGGCTACTGGCGAGCCGGGACGCTTCGCCACTGCTTGAGGAGTTTGCGGTGGGCTCCTGCGGTCCGGGGCGGGGCGGGCGGGCCCGGCGCGGCGCGGAGGCCTCGCGGAGGCGGCAGGCGAGGCCGCCGAGCCCCGGCTGCCCGGCGAGCCGCCCGCGGGCGGCAGGCCTGTGGGCGGCAGGGCCGCGGCCGCGCCCATCGCGGCCACCGCGGCGTCTGCGGGCGGCGGTCGGGGGCGCTCCTCGCCCCCCAGGTAGGGGAACCCAAAAAACAGAAAGTGGCACAAACATAAAACACTCGGAGGTCCGCCGGACTTCTTGCATCCGGCGCTGGGGCCCCCCGGCGGCGCCTCCGGCGCCGCCCCCGGCGCGCCCCGCGCGCCAGGGAGGGGGGTCCAGCGCCGATCCGAGAAAGCCGCGCGGACCTCCGAGTTTTTGTGCTTATGTCACTTTTTGCTCCCCGACCTTGGGCGGGTGCTGAGATGGGGGGGGGACGCAAAGGGGGGGGGCGAAGAGGAGAGCCCCCGCAAAGGCACTCTTCAGGGCCCCCTTTTTTGGGCCCCTGCCGGCTCCAAGAGTGGGCCCCGAATGGGCTCCTTGGGGGCCCTGTTCTCCGCGCCCCCCACGTCGGGCCACCCCGCATCAGCACCCGCCCGACCCCCCCTCTCCCAGCCCCGCCCTCCCGTGGTCTCGAGCCAACTCTGCGGAGCAGGGCGAGGCGGATGTCCTGCTGCGGGTGGATCGGGATGCGTTCCAGGATTCCTCTGGAGCCTCCAGCGGCCCTCGCCTCTGCAGCCCGGGGGGGGGAGTGAGGCTCACAATTCGAGGTGGGCAGAGGGGGCAGGGTGCAAATGGGCGCCCAGGAGCGAGGGGCAACCAACGGCTTGCCATCGTTCGGACGTCCACTGTGTGTGCGCGCGCATGCTCCGGCTTCGTGCGTGCAGTTGCCGACGCGGCCCCCTCCCCGAGCCCATCCCCCCCCCCCCTTAGCGCTGCCCCGGGGGGGAGGAGGAGGGCGTCCGAGCGGGGGGCTCGCCCAGAGTCGTGGCCCGGGGGCGCGTGCGCGGCCCAAGGGGGGGGGGGGTCGCCAAGGGGCGTGTTGAAGTAGGAAGGGGGGGGGGGGGGGGGGGGTCGCCAAGGGGGGGCGTGTCGCCAAGGGGGGGGGGTCGCCAAGGGGGGGGGCGCCAAGGGGCGTGCTGAAATGGGAAGGGGCCCTCGGATCCAGGGCGACATCGCGGCCCCGGCCACGACGGATCCACACACACGCTGTGGCAGTCGGCGGCGCAGAAGGGCGGTCTAGCGCAGGCAGCAGATGGGAGCGCGAACTGCGATCGAGTACCCCATGATGCCCACACACACCCCGAGTCATCGCCTCCCCCCCCTTCTACCGTCACGGCGCGGCAGGGTCGGCCCGCCCGCGTGGTGGGCAAGCCGGGCAACGGCAATTGCGAACCGTCCCGACTGCAAGAGGGGAGGAGAAGAAGCAGCCCGGCCGCGGGAGACGGAGGACAGGGGGGCCCCGAGTCAGCGCCCCCACGTGGCCACCACCGTGCGTGGGGGGGAAGTTGGCGGGCGCAGCCCGGGCCAGACGTGGAAGGAGAACGGGTGGCCATGGCCCCGGCCATGAGATCCAAACACACACACACACACACACACACCGAACCATCGCACCCTTTGCGCCACCACCGAGAGTGGGGGGCCAGGCCCGACGTGGAAGAAGAAAGGTTGGCCATGGCCCTGGCAATGATATCCACACACACACACACCGAATCATCGCACCCTCTGAGCCACCACCGAGCGTGGGCAGGGGGGGGCGGCCTGTTGCAGTCCGCGCGGGTTGGTTGGATCGCCGCTGGGCCCCCCCCCCAGACGCACGGCCCAGGCTCCCCGCAAAAGCAGAAGCCTGCGCCTCACACCCCCCTGCCTGGCTCGCGGAGCGCGCCATGGGGGCGCAAGAGGCGCTGCCAGGGGGGTCCAGCGGATAGCAAGCAGCATCCCCTCGGTCCCTCGAAAGTGCGTGCCTGTGCAGCTCTGTCTTCTACGAACCAAGGCCGCTCACGGCGACAGCTCCACCGAAAGCGGCCCGAAACGACCCCGAAGCCGAAAGCGACCGAAACCGACAGGCCGCAAGCAGCCTAGAACACCGCAGCGACGCAAGAGCCGACCGAACGATCCGACCGCGTGCAGCACCGACAGCGACACGCGCGAACCGACCGATCCCTGGACACGGCTGGCTCCCCTGCCCCCCCTCCCCGCTCCTCGAGGGTTGACGACGTGGACATTCCGAGAACCCCTCGCGCCGAAGCACCTTTCGGCTCTGGCCCGCCTGCACGGCCCCGGATCCATCAAAAAAGCTGACAGGGCGACGCCGCCGGGGGGGTCCTCATTCTGGCACAAGTCACGACGTCTGGTCAGGCATCCGCGTTCTCCAAGGCAGGGCGAATGGCGAGTTTGCTCAACGGTGATGTTGGGCACCAAGTGGTAGGACATCGCGCGCCACACTTTCCTACATCTCCAGTCTGCGAACGGATCGAGCGAACACGGCACGGCGAATTGTAGGAAAGCGCGAACCACGCGTTCCCACAATACCGACACCTACATCGCCGTTACCTGCATCGCCGTTAGCCCATCTTACGGGTTCTGAGCCACATATGCATCTCGCACAGCACCTTGGCCAGCTGCAGCGTTGGCTTCGCCAGGGCAAGTCGATGTGGCCCGTCACGCGCCCGCCTCGCCCACTCCTGCTCCGCCCCTCCCTGGCAGTTCTCAGAGCTGGGCTGGCGGCGCCAGGCAACGATGGCAAGCCCTGGGCCTTTTCCGTGACACCTCCTGCGGAGACAGGAAGAGGAGGAGGAGGAGGAGGAGGAGGAGGAAGAGGAGGAGGAGGAGGAGGAGGAGGAGGAGGAGGAGGAGGAGGGGAGGAGGAGGAGGAGGAGGAGGAGGAGGAGGGGGGGAGGAGGAGGAGGAGGAGGAGGAGGAGGAGGAGGAGAGGAGGAGGAGGAGGAGGAGGAGGAGGAGGAGGAGGAGGAAGAGGAGGAGGAGGAGGAGAGAGGAGAAGGAGAGGAGGAGGGGAGGAGGAGGAGAAGGAGGAGGAGGAGGAGGAGGAGGATGAGGAGGAGGAGGCCTCTGGAGGTGCCTCCTCCTCTTCCTCCTCCTCCTCCTCCTCCTCCTCCTGCCACCGTGCCGCCGAGCACTCGGCGGAGCGCCATCGGGTCCTCCAGGGCCCTCTGCGGCGGCGCCCCGTGGGGGCATCTGAGAGGGAGCAGGCCCCCTCGCGGAAGGCGGCGGGGCGTCTCGGAAGCCCTCCAAGCCCTCCGAGAAGTGCTCTGCGCGCCTTCGGCGACGGCGAAGAAGACTTAGCTGCCCCGATACGCAGCACGCAGCCCGCAGCGTGTTGGCACGGAGCTCAGCACGCAGGCTGGCACCGTAGGTCTGACGCGATGCGCTCGCGAAGACGTGGGACACTACCTTGGGCCAACACGCAACGCATCGACACAGAAGTTTGGAGCACCGCACGTGTTGCGCTTCAAAGCGGGCGCATGGATGCACCTGGGCTCAGAGAGCTTCTCGGGAAGGCCCGAGGCCCGAAGCGCAGGCGGTCCGACGAGTTCTCGGGGAAGGGGGTGCCGTCCCTCCCCCCTCCCCGAGGTCTGTGTTGTGGGCTCCGCGAGGGCCTGGAGCGCCCGAGATGGCTCAAGGTGCCTCCAAGAGGGCCTCCGATGCTTCGAGACGGCTCGCTTCGCCCCACGGGGCTCGCCGCCGACGGAGCAGGAGCAGGAGGAGGAGGAGGCGGCGGGGGAGGAACAGGAGAAGCACGTGGCGAAGGAGGAAAAGGAGGAACAGGAGGACAGGGAGGTGGAGGAGTAGGAGGAGGAGGAGGAGGAGGAGGAGGAGGAGGAGGAGCTAGGAGGAGGAGGAGGACAAGGTGCTAGGAGGAGGAGAGAAGAAGGAAGAGGAGGAGGAGGAGGAGGAGGAGGAGGAGGAGGAGGAGGTGCTAGGAGGGGGAGGAGGAGGTGGTGCCCTGTGCTGTGAGTGGGGGGCTGCAGGCTCTCGGCGGCCAGCGCTCACCTCGGGGTCTTCTCGCGCGACCTCCCCAGGGAGGCCGGGTTGCACCACCCACTTGGCCGGGAGGGCCCCCAGGGGGCCAAAGATGGGGGGCAACGACAGGGAGGGACCAGCACAGGGGGGGAAGCATCGGCCTGGAATGGGCGATACATCGCCGATAGATCGGCGACAGGCCCCCGAGAGTGACTCCGCACCTTCCTGGGCAGCTTGGGGCTACCGGGCCCCTATCGGCGATCAATGGGCGATTCGGGGTCGATGCATCCCCCCATATGCCTACTATCCCCTCCGATCGTTGCCCCTGACAAGAGACGGTCCCAAGAGGGCCCCGGGTCGGCCCAGGAGCCACCGAAGACACCCAAGAGATGCCCTGCAGACGGCAGAAGAGTCCACCAAGACGTCCCAGCAGGGCCCCAGGATGACCCTCGAGGTGGCTCCCAAGAGGATCCCCAAGATGGCCCCCACCTGTGTCTCAATGACTTCCGCGTGCTCCCCTTTTTTCGTGCCTCCGACAGCCGAACACGGGCCAAGTGGGCCTCCAAGATAGCTCCGAGACGGCCCAAAAAGCCCCCAAGAGAGCCCCACCACGGGCCAGGCTGAAGGGGCCCTGGGACACACAAATAAACACACACACACAAATCAAACTATTCCCCCTATTTTCCCAAATTTTCTGGGTGTTCGTCTTCCCCACCCCATTGTCCATATTTCCATGTTTTCCTGGGAATCGGCGATGAATTGTGTCTGTGTGTTTTTGTTCCCTCCTGACAGGCGGCCGCCAAGACGCCCCCAAGACGGACGGAGAGCCTCCGGTGCTGCCCCGCGGCGCCCCCGGAGGGCCTCAAGGCAACCCAGGCAGGCCCCAAGGCGCCCGACTGCCAGGAGCGCTGAGACGACCCGCGAGGCCCACCCCAAGGGGCCCCCAGAAAGTGCCTGAAAGGCCTCAACAAGGCCCCAAGAAGCATTCTCATCTTCCTTCTCGTCCTCCTCCTCCTCCTCCTCCTCCTCTTCCTCCTCCTCCTCCTCGGCCTTCTCCTCTTCCTCCTCCTCCTTCTCTTGCCTCTCCACCTCCTTCCCTCTCCCTTCCTCCCACAAGTGTTCCCCACACGCTTCTCACATCAACTGGAGGATCACATAGACCAACTGCTTGGCCGGACGTTGGCTCACCCTTTGGCCACACACGCGACTCCAAAAAGCAGAGGGCGACGGCGGCGGTTCGCCGTGGGCGTCTTCGATAATCAAGATAATCATATATTTGTTCCGCGAGTCTAGGCTGGAGCGCACG